TAAGATTTTGCTTTGGAATAAAAATGGCTTTTCAATAAAAGCCAATTTCTCAATAAATAGGCAATAATTGTAAAAATAACAATATAAAGGCAGAAATAGAAGCTAAAAGGGATTAATTAAATCACCCAATGTCGCTCTCATGCGTAAATTGAATTATCTGGGATTTTAAGTCCACCTTGGGCAATTTAATAAGTTTTGTTTGAATTCCACTTCCACAAAGCTTGGGAAATGTTATCTCATTTAAGGAAAAAGAAATTGGCTTACATGTTAAAGAGACGCAAATAAAGATGATTAAGTACTTAGGGAATGATAACTGAAGATAAACTGGTTAGTTTCAACCAGCTTTTCTTTGGCCCCTAATCGATCACCCTTGGACACAGCGAATATGAGCTGATAAGAAAATGATAGTTAATTGCATTTCTTGACCATCTGTTTGAAATTTGCCAAACATCTAACAACAATGATTTCAGCCATTTAAATGATTCCATTATCTGGATAAGGGGTGTGCGATAGACTTACCTCCACGTGGTGCACCCTGGGCAACGTATACTCATACGGCAAAAAAGTCTATTAACTGGCAGTTGACTTCTCCCTTCAAACTACCATGACCCCATTACACTTCATATTCGAATAATTCCACAGTATTCACCTCACATTTTTTCTACCTTCGTGTTTGTCTGTATCTTTTACGTCTGTGAATCATTATTCTGTCCCCCTCTCGACTTTTTACCACTTTGATGTACCTCTTCCTTTCTGTGAAGCCCGAAGTCAACTAAAGGGCTAATGATCATAACGCCTGCCATTTGAAATAAATAAATAAATAAATTATCTGTATAAAACAAGACTTTTTTAATCTTTGAAGTTCATATGGTTCAAGTGGATTTTTATGTGATCAAAAATCCTAGCATTACCATGGGGATGAGGAATATATATATATATATATATGAGACCTACCCCAATAAGAATCAGATGCCAACATGGAGAGATCTCTAAATAAGCCATTCCAGGCGAAAAACTTGACCACCTACTAGAACTAGCAGAATTGGAAGAAACGATTTGCAGTATGGA